TGACAGGATGACTCAAATTTCATGCTTTTGCATCTTCCTTTATGTCCCATTTTCATGTCCAAGTCCCCTCCCATTTGTCCCATGCTCCAGTGAGAGAAAAAGATTCATTGCTTTCTCACTCATCAAAGAATTCAAACTACATACAAATAAGGTGAGAATTTAGCACAAACACTAAACCAGGGCAATTTGATTAACTTTATTTAGAGACTGATAAGGTGTGTGGCTTCTTCTTATAAAAGTACATATTTTGTATTCATCATAAGAGTTTGATTCTCCACTCTTTTTGCGTCTAACTCTTCTGTTTATATATCGTTATAGTTTCAACGACAAAATACATATTTTACATTCATGATAAGAGTTTGATTTTCACCCTATTTGTCTCTCATACTTCAAAATGATAAAATACTCTCTTCACATCCATAATAAAAATTTGACTCTCACTCTTTTCACCTCTTATTTTTTCATTTAAGAGTGAATTCTCAAGAATGACCGAATGTGGCCAACGAGATCTACCCAGTGGAAAAAGACCTTTACTTGCAGAGCAGTGGTCTTAGGTTCGAACTCCCATGACACCTTAATAGTGTATATGTGAGAAACTCTCATCTGCCTTATAATTTAGACTATCGCTTGTATTTAACCAAAATATATTAAAATTGAAACATGATAAAGGCATATTTTGCTAGAAAATTTGCTACTTGATCACTCTATTTAGACCATGAAACTTAAAAATTACAGGTTCTATTTTATCCAACAAAGCCTTAACAGAGTTATGCCAAGCATTCTTATTGCCCAATAGAGGAATAAATATTTTTGTAACCCTTGAAAAAATATTCTTTTTTATAATTTGATTTTTTTTTTTTTTTTTTTGTAGGGGTTAGTGTTTAAAGTAGCTAATGATAGATAGCTTTTCAAAAGAGATTGGGTGTCTTGGTGCATTACAACTTGGAACAGTCGGGCCATTTCGCAATTTAAAAATATTACTTTTTCTTATTTATTTATAATTCTTCACCATTTGTGGGAAGGCCTTGACCTCCATTTTTTTGTTTCATACACAACCTCTCTGTTAATGTATGTATAAATAAATAAAAACAAATTAATTATTAATTAGTTTATATATATAATATATGCACATTCGAAGCTTATGGAATCGCACCTTGACCGGCGTTGCAGTTGTAAAGTCAAAGATCAATACATTCATCCCTTTGCGAAATTGTGACATGGTCTATTGACTCTTCATTAATTATTTTCAATTAAATTTTTTTTGGGGGTGACAAGTTGTTTAATCTTTTGATTCTTATGTTTCCACATTTCAAAATTTTCTTGTCAGCTTTTAGATCTAATGCCAGTCTTCTGTTTAAGTTTTCCAAATTGTATTATTCTTTCATTGAGATTTGTAATTTTGTTTTTTTTTTTAAATAAATATTTTTTTAAGTACATTAACCCACCTACTTTTCAACTAGGGGATTAAACAAAACTACTTTCAAATCTTCTCATAAGAGCATCTTCAACTGATATGTCAAAAGTACCACATAGATATTTAATGGTTAGAAATAACATCTCACATAACTCCAACCGAATTGTCAAAACTGATATGGAATGAATGCTGGAGGTTCAACTGTTATTTTTGACATCCCAAAAGCAAGATGTCAAATGAATATTTTATTATTTTTTAAAGACAGCTGGTTGTAACTTTTATTTATTATTATTTTTTTTTTTCTTCTTTATCTTAAATGATTTGACTGTTGAATGGTGGGGTTCCCCCTGTTTGGCTCACTATGTGCTATCATCCCATGTCTCTCATGCTGAGGTCGAATGGTGGGGTTCCCCCCTGTTTGGCTCTCTGATACGCTTATCTACGATTCCAGTTGAGTTCTCAGTTGTTGTTTTATTGGCGTGCGTGGTACTCTTTCCTACCCTGGGATTTTATCCCTTTGGGTTTTCCCTGGGAAGGTTTTAACGAGACCACTCTTGACATGCTCTGTTCTATGTAAGCTCCTTCTAATTGAATACAAATTGATTGCTTTCTCTAAAAAAAAAAATGATTTGACTGTTACAATAATTATTTATTTGACATATCGGGTGGAGTATAAAACTGTGTAAATGTCAAATTGCCATATCAGCCATCAAATTTAAATTTGATGTTTGGTATTTGACATCTCCCTTGGAGATGCTCTAATAATCCCAAATTGTAAGTTACTTGTAGCTAATACATTCTAAAAAGAATGACAATTCAGCTATTTTCATTTATACAAATTACAGTTTGACAAATATGCAAAAGTAACTCTCTAAGTACAAAATTAAAGTGCGATTGGCTGGTAAGTAGGAACGACTTGTTGAAAAAAGAAAAGAAAAAGGAGCTTATAGTATAGCTCAAATATAGCATAATTGTGGATGTGAAAATAATGTTGTGTAATAATTATCACAATTTGATTTTCCCCCTACCAGACAAACACATGTTGAATCAGCATGCCATCCAATATCTTTGAGAGAGGGTTTGATTGAAAAGAAAGCATATTATCTCTTGAATACTTTTTCTTTTTCCAACTAACCATCCATGTTAATTTGAAAAAGAAAGCACAAGGAGATTATCTAGATAATCCACCAATTAAATTTAAATTTTATTAGCCAATTATTTAAATTATATTCAAAGAATCGCTTTCGTGTTGATGTGGGGAGCATGTCATGTAGTTGTAACTTGTAAGTTGAAAGTCGACAAAAAACATAAGGAAAGTAAAAGCTGGTGGCTGACGTGCTTAGTAATAGTAGTTACCTCCCTCTGCAAACATACTAACGCTTCCCTTGGACTCTTGCGCCCATAAAGAATCCGATGAAAACAAGCTCGAAACGTTTTGGTTTTCGGTTGTCGGGAGGGGAAAAACTTGTATGACACGGAACTAATGTTGTTTCGTCAATCACATTTTATCACGCTTGATACAAATTTCATATAATAAAACGTAATTAGATAGGTGCCAGAGGGAAAAAAAACTTGTATGATATGGGAATAATATTGTTTCATCAATCACATTCTATCATGTATGATAAAAATTTCACATAATAAAAAGTAATTAGATGAGTACTATCTTCGTGACATGCAAGTATTTTCAGTTTCGGAGATTAAATTAAACTGAAACAGTGCCGTTTCGACAAGGCTATCCCGGAATGCCACGTGGCGGGCAGGAGGATCTGGCGGAGGGACAAGATGGGGCCTAGTGGAGGGCTTTTCTTTAATACCATAGGGTAGGAGGGGGGAGCGAGAGTGACGTGACGTGGAGGGGCGAGTGGGGGTGTGTTTTGAGGGTTGTGGTGTTTTTAGATTTCTGGTCCCGACCACGATGCTCCACAGTCCACCGTCTAACGGTCACGTTCTTGAGCTTCGCGCCCAGCAAAGAAAAAACCCAAGTTGCCAACTACTCGCCCAAATTCCTCTCATTTCCCACTTTGTCCCTCAATTAATGAAGTCGTGTGCCTTTAATTTTTTAAATTTTTTAAATTTTTTAAATTTTATTTTTCCAATTCTTTAAAAAATTTATTTCTAAGTCGGGTTTTGGTGTTTTAAATTTCGATTTTTATTTTTTATATAATGTTAAACTATTCCAAGTGAAGCTAGATTTTGGTTTATACAGTAGAAAATTATAATAAGTTGAACCTAGTACCTATCATTTTCTTTATATTTTTTGACCCAAAAAGATATTACAAATTTATAAATAAACTAAATCCTAGACATGTATTTATAAAAAAACCCAAACACTACTTAAATATAGAAACACACCTAAAATCAACTCCAAAATCAACTATTGTATATTTTTTGGGTGTGTTTATAAATGGGTTTTGAGTGTGTGTAATGATGAGTTTTTGGTGTGTTTATAAAGTGTTTTGGGTGTTGGATTTTTTTATAATTTCAGCCCCCATTTTTGGTGTCTTAGTGAAACTCCCAAAAGATATTCACTCCACACTATTGCCTGGGTGTTTAAGCGTTGTGAGGAATTAGTTGGGCCTTTAAGTCGCAACATTTTATGATTACACAAGAAGATTATGAAATTACATATGATTCATTTGAGTGATACTAGAGTCTCAACTTGGCCAACGGGATCTAGCTTAATGAAAAAGTGTCTTAACTTGCAGATCAGTGATTTTATATTTGAATTGCCATGACAGCTCGATAGTGTGTGTGTGAGAAAACCTCTCTCTTCTTATAGTTTAGACTATTGCTTATATTTTTTTAAAAAAAAAACAGACTCAACTTCTCAAGTAAGTTCTTAACAAAAATAAAAAAAACTTTTCAAATAAGTTCCTATCCAAATAGAGGGAAAAAAGAAACTTGTCAGGGAAGTTGTTACGAAAAAGGAAAAAAACTTGAAAAGGTAGACCTTGAACCCACATCTTTGTACTTTTTGGAATTCATGATCTATATTAGGTGAGTAGGTATACAAATTCATCACAATTATAAAATCTTATCTCAAACAGTTAGACTAAATACTTACAGAATATAGAAAGTGTTGATCTGGGAAAAAGGAGAATATGGAAAAGTAAATGAGTCATGTAAAAGCTATTTTGAGCGGATGCAAACTTGAGCTAGCGGCATGGAGGATTTTACTTTTACTTTTGTGTTCGCTTTTGGTTGGGTTTACTGTTGTGCTTGTAGCTGTTTTTTCGTTCACTAGTTTTTTACCTACAGAAAAAAAGAAAGAAAGAAAAAAGGGTAGTTTGGTCACACAAAAGTAGAAAGAATTGTATCCCGAACACAGGGGTAGTTTCGTCAACAAGAAAAAAAGGGACCTGCCAGATGTGCAACAGGCTGAATTATTCCAATTAACGAAGAAAAAAGAATTCTGAAAAATACAGTTCGATTTGATTAACGATGAAAACAAAGAGGCCCACCACCACCACCTCTTATTCAAAAAAATAAATAATAAAAAATTCAAAAAATTAATGAATGAATTTAAATCAAATACAGAGAGAGAGAGAGAGAGAGAGAGAGAAGAGAGGAGGAGAGAGAGGAAGAAGAAGAAGAAAAAGAAAGAGAAGCGACAAGAGAAAGAGACGAGAGAGTATAACGCTTCAGAAAAAAAAAAAACAAAAAACACCACACCGAAGAGCCTTTGATTCATTTCAAAAGCGCTCAATCTCTCTGTCTCTTCGTTTCAAAACCCTAGCCTTTTTTGTGCACCAATTTGGATATCGTCCATGGCGTCCGCGTTGGCTCCACGGCTACCATTGTAAATTTACCATTTCGCCCTCAGACTCGCCGGAAAATGGCGGAAAATCCAACGCCGCCGCCTCCGCCGCCGCTTAATCTGACGCTATCGTATTCGGCTAGGGTTTCAGTTTCAGTGAGCTCTATGAGGAGCTCGACATAAACACAAAAACCAAAAAAAGAAAAAAAGTATTTCAGGACCGTCCGATCAGTGCATTTGATTTCATCTGTTCGTTGTATATAATTAGAGGAGAGAAAGCGAGGGCCGTTGGATCATTGCGGCTGCTGTAGCTATGGCGAAGGGAGGTTACTTCTTGGAGAAGGTTCGCAGATGCGTACGGACTGTGTTCTTCATGGTGGCGATGGTGGCGTCGCTGCTGGTGTCGTCGCTCCCGGTGCTGGTGGCGATAGGGGACATGTTGGTGCCGTGCGTGTTGATTTCGAGCTTCACGTGCGTAACGTGCTACGGATTCAAAGAGCATTTGCATCGATACGCCTTCAAGAGCTCGCTCACCGATATTCCTCTTGTTTCCTTTATCAGATCTCTCATCATTACCTGTATGTACCTTTCTATCTTACTCCCTCTTTTTTTGAGCTCATTTTTTTTTTCTTTCCAATTTTGGGGTTTTTTTTTTTTTGGTAATGGAATTTTCATATTCGAGTGCTATATTTTTTTTCTCTCTTCAAATATCTATTTGGAAGGGAAACCGTTCTTGAGGCAATGATTTGCATTCGTCCAAGTATTTTCTTCATTTTTCTATTGTTTCAAGCTTGATAGTTAATGAAAAGAGAGAAATTTGATAATTTATGTTATTACTCTGAGCTTTGATGAAAAAAGTGATATATAGTTTTTTTTTAAAGCAAGCTTATTTTATTATGGTTTTTGTTCCTTAATAATCAGAGATTACTTGAGCAAAATTTGTACAACAAGAGGCAAGCAAATGAAACTTCTAATGTTTTTTTGTTGATCTGATAACTTGGAGAATGTAAAAGAAAAATCAGCCAAATAAGTGGAGGTTTTTGGTTTGGTGGTCCCAAATAATAAGTTTCCGTAAGATTCATAATTTCATAAGTTTTCTCAGTAAATCGTGTGCACAAGTTGGATTTTTTGGCTTCCGACAGTCCCTATGTACTCTGTGGACTTACATATGAATGAAATGAGCATGTAGTTAGTCCCTATGTACTCTGTGGACTTACATATGAATGAAATGAACATGTAGTCAGTGCCATGCAATTTCAAAAGTTTTGAACTTACACTTCCTATGTTTGCTAAAAAGTTGCCAAATATCAGTTTCTGGTGGATGTGAGAAACAAACATGAAGCATCCAACTTAATCTAGCTTTATCTAAGTATTTGACTTAGTTTAGTATTTTTCTGCGATGCATAAAATCCTTTTTCTTTTATTTGTTTATTTATAAATTGTAGCTAAGTTTTCTCAGTAACCATACAAAAGGGTTCTTAGGATTTTGTGTTTTATGTTGGTCTGAATGCTTGAAACCCAATCTTCTCTTTTAATGATGTCTCTATGACCTTACTAATAGAACGTGATGAACAGAGTAGTAATATGAATGAACCTTCCTTTTTGTGATAGTTATTTCAAATGTTTTATTAAATTTGAGTATATTACAAATGTGCTCATGTATAGTTTCATGATTGCAGGTGTGTATTCCATGTGCGATGGCCCTGCTCTCTCACACGGTCCATACCTTGGAACTGTGACTTTCTGTTCCTTTATCTCAATTCTTCTTCTTTCAGTTAAAGCTTGTCTTTTCACTGTAAATTCTCAAATAGAGGCTGAAGCTTCGTCTTCCCTCTCAAGGCAGAAGCTCCATTTAAAGAAGTCATGGGGAATGCCTGTCTTGTTTCTCTCATCAGTAGTCTTTGCCCTTGGACATACTGTGGTTGCTTATAGAACAAGCTGCAGAGCAAGGAGAAAGCTCATGTTTCACCGAGTTGATCCAGAAGCTGTAAGTTTGCATAAGGTTTCTTTTTAACTCCCTTGATTTCACATTCAAATTTTCTTATTTGTAATATAAGGGTTATGTGTTCTGTGAATTGTGTTTCTATGTCACTGTTTTCAACTTTGCCTTGATTGAAATGTGAAATTTAAATGGATAATGTAAGTTTTTATAAACTATTGATTGTGCTCTAGCACTGTATGGAATCATTATGCTCTCTAACATTGTTCTTCTACTGCTGCATTTGCTTCTATAGTAATGATTACTTTAACTTTTAGTAGTTTATAACGAACTGCTTTGTTTTTCAAAATGACAGGTCCTTTCATGCAAAAATGTCTTCTCTGGCTATCAGAAGGTCCCAAGATCTCCCACTCCTTCGGGAGGAAAAACCCCAAAAAGTGACAGTGAATTGAGGCGTAAGCCTTTTTCTACAGCTCGAGATGAAGGGGAACTCCCAGTCAGAGTAATTGCAGATATTGACAGCTTATTCATTATGTGCCGGGGGCTTACTCTTCATTACAAGCTTAGCTTTCCTGGTTCACCACCTCGTTCCTTGTCATCCATTGCATTTTTGGAACCCAGTCTCAGCTGCAGCTCCCCAAAAACGGTCATGGGGAGGCCAAAACTAGATAGGCATCCCTTAAGTTTGGTATCGAAAGGCCAAAACCATCTCCATAGGAGCTACAGCAATCAATTTAATGGCTCATCTCTCTTTGTACCTTTATTGGATGGTTCTACAATATCTCCTGTTCTTTCTGAAGAGATTCCTGTCTTGAGATTGTCCAATGCTGGTGAAGACGATGAGGGTAGTAAATTAAGTTCTGGTACTCTAAATAAAGACATGGAAGGTAGTGGTCAGTTTGGTATTGTTTTAGTCCATGGGTTTGGGGGAGGAGTCTTCTCATGGAGGCATGTGATGGGGACCCTGGCTCGGCAAGTTGGTTGTACAGTTGCTGCTTTTGATCGCCCCGGTTGGGGCCTAACCTCAAGGCTACGACGGGAAGATTGGGAGGATAAAGAAATGCCTAACCCTTATACACTTGAATCTCAGGTAATTGGCTACCCCTTTTAGTTACTCTTCTATAACTTACATATACTTTACCCCTTGTTTTGGGTGCCTGTCCAGAAGAGGCTCCCAACTCCCAAAATAAGGCTGTTCTGGGGTTAGATTCTAATTCCTTCCTCTTAAGAAATGGGAAGAGATAACACCTATTAAGGAAACAAAAAATGGGTAGGGGAACATACAATACCTTGATACAGTTGCATGTAGTATCTAGTTTGCTTATATCTAGAGTAAACCGGTGGTGTTGCTGTAGAAATGCAGAATAATACTGTCTACTGATTGGTCTGGGTCAAGAGATCCATTTGAATATCATCTTGCAACACTAGGCAGACCAGCTGAGAGCTAGTGTACCACCCTCTGTTTTTGAAGTGGCTCTCCCTTGCTCTAGATGTACTGTCATGCTTTCAAAGTACTGTTTATCTAGTATATCCTCTTGGTTGATCCTACTGAAATTGCGTTTCCAACATGGGCACTTAATTGAACATGATCCTGCAATGCTGTCATGTCTGCTTAATTGTTCATTTGGTCCCTTCCCCATATGTATTCTTCATGTTTTCCGTTTAGATTTTATAATGGTCTGAATTTGTTGAACCTACTCTGTCAGGTTGACCTGCTTCTTTCATTCTGCTCTGAGATGGGGTTTTCTTCAGTGGTGCTTGTTGGTCACGATGATGGAGGTCTTCTAGCTTTGATGGCTGCCCAAAAAGTACAAGCATCAGTGAATTCTTTCAACGTGAGTATCCCTTCTTAGTTTCCTTAGCATATATCTTTAAACTAATGGGACCCTGATATGCTTGTTAACTCTTCTTACATGTGAAATTGAGTTATTTACACCCATATTAGTTAGTAGTGAAACAGTGGCAGTTTCATAAGACTATGCCCTTGGTATATGTAGTTACACAAAGACTTCCACACCAAGTGTACATGTAGCCAATGGTAGAGTTAAGTAGGACTCATGCTAAATCTTTATGTGAACATGAAGATGCTACATTTCTCGATTTCATGCTTGAAGATAGCATAGGAAGTGATAAAGATATTGTTATTACCCCTTATTGGAGTGGGGATGCTGCTTCTCCTTTGCATATGCTCACACCATGCAAACTACCCGTAGATGTTTGTCTTTTTCTTTTTTCCTTCTCTTAATTTAAGTTTCATAACATCTTTGTTATACTGTGTTTTTTGTTATGTAATTCAGGTTATAATTAAAGGCGTAGTACTGTTAAATGTCAGCTTGTCAAGAGAAGTGGTGCCTGCTTTTGCGAGGATACTCTTGAGAACTTCACTTGGGAAAAAGCACTTGGTTCGCCCTTTACTGCGAACAGAAATTACTCAAGTGGTGAATAGGCGCGCCTGGTATGATGCTACAAAGTTAACAATGGACGTTTTGAGCCTTTATAAGGTATGCCCTGGATATGTGTAAAATTAGTAAGTTTACAGAAAATTTGAAAGGAACTTTGATGTCTAAGTTAAGACAATTTCCTGAATGCATGAATGGAAATTTTAAGGTCTAAGTTAAGACAAGGTCCTGACAATTTTAAGGTCTAAGTTAAGACAATTCCTAAATTTTAAGGTCTGTTGATGTTTCCAACTCCCATTTCTGCAGATCAAAACTCATTCTTGATTTTTGTATAATTTAATGGAAACATCTTTTCACATAAACTTTGACTTTTCCTTAAGCAATATTAAGTTTGGTAGAGAGATTAGGTTGTATGCAGCACAGCTTTGGATATATGTTGTGTGTATTTCATTAATTTGTGATTGTGAACTCAAATTTTGGTAATCATTTGCTTGATCTGTTTTTTTTTCTTTTTCTTTTGGTTGCATCAGGCCCCTCTATGTGTAGAAGGATGGGACGAAGCACTGCATGAGATAGGTAGACTGTCATATGAAACATTTCTTTCACCGAAAAATGCAGAATCATTGCTGAAGGCAGTTGAAGACATGCCAGTGTTGGTCATAGCAGGGGCTGAGGATGCTCTCGTCTCTCTTAAATCTTCTCAAGCTATGGCTTCCAAACTTGTAAATTCTGTAAGTTCTGGCTTTTTACTATCAAGTTGTGGACATAATCATGTGTTTCACCATTAGTATTTAGACTTCTAACATGAATTATGATCACATTTGAATTTGATCTAATCGGGTTTTTGTGTATGCAGAGACTGGTTGCGATATCCGGATGTGGCCATCTTCCTCATGAAGAGTGTCCCAAGGCATTACTTGCTGCAATATCACCCTTCTTAAGCAGACTCTTAAGCAAACAAGACATGCATAGCCAATAGTGTACCTTCTTTTTAACTTCTAATTAGGGTTTTCATCTATTGTAGGTTTTCGTTTTTCTTACCTTTTTTTAATTCTCTGTTTTCTTGTTAAGCAATTTAGTCCAAAAGAAGAGAGTAAGGTTATCTCTTCTTCTTGGTATTTTTGATGTGTTAGTTTGGAGCCTTACCCATACCTACATTCTTTAGGGTTTTAGAGCTCATCACTTGTAATCTTCATATCCTTTTATTCCATTTTTTTTTCTCCTTTCGAAATGCTTTTATTTATTTTATTTTATTAATCTATTGTTGTTTGATCAGTACTTGTCATTTCCCACTCAAGTGGGGGTCGAAGATAGCATCATATATTTGTACATTTATCCAAATAGTTGAATCCCTGAATTTAAGCATATGGTGTTGTTCCACAAGTCATCTGAATTGTCAAGTCTCTGTGCCCAACAGGCACAAAAACCACCGAGAAGGCCTGTAAAATCAAATTCTATGTGCCTTTTTGCAACCAATGAAACGTTAAAAAATTGATGAGTTCCCATGGGTGGTACTGGTAATTTTATTTTTCTTTGCAGTTTTTGTTTTGTTTTTGTTTTCTGGAGATCCTGCAGGACGAGTTCAAGAATTATAGGGATAAGGGGCTGTTTTTGGGGTCGTGTAAGGTGATATAAGAGTTCCATTTGTGACCTATTTTGTGTGTGTTTGCTCTGGTGTGAGACAGCTGCGTTCACTTGGGCAGCACCTAAAAATAGAGGATGATGCCAATCGCCATCCAACTGCTGCATCTAAAAATACACGGCGGTGAGCACCACTGAACGGTTACTGGTCAGCTGGATGATCCTCGCTACTTGCCAAACACCATCCAACTGCTGACCCTAAAAATAGACGGCCGTGATGAGCACCACTGAACAGTTGTTGGTCATCTGGATACAGGCAGTGCTTGCCAATCACCAGCAAACTGCTGCACCTAAAAATAGTTGGGAGCGAACACCATTGAACTGCTGCTCCACTGGACAACAGCCGTGCTTGCCTATCAGCTTCAAACTGATGTACCTGAAAATAGACGGCGGTGAGCACCACTGAATGGTTGCTGATCTGGTGGACATAGACTGTGCTTGCCAATTACAGGTGGCGCTCAAGTAAGCGCATTTCTTGTGTGAGAAGGTACTTCCTAGTTACAAAGATTACTTTAGAGAGATTGCAAAACATGTATTTTAAACATTCGGGGTTATTCTTCAAATCGGTGGATAAATGTTACTAGTTGACATGTTATTCTTAAACTTAAAAAAAAAAACTCTGCAATGACTAACTTAGGCCCCGTTTGGGATTGCTTTTTTTGGCCAAAAACCTGCTTAACTTTAAAGTTAAGCAGTTTAAGGTGTTTGGTAAAATTAAAATATCTCGATTATTTTAAAAGCAGTGGCCTTTTGACAGCAGCTTTTAAAAGCTGACTCTGGGTTGCTTTTCAAAGCTGCTTTCAAAAGAAGCAGAGATGAACATTTAATGAATTTTTTTAATTCTCAAAATATCATCATTTATTTTAAAAAAATGACACCACCTCCACTTTTACATCCAACTCCACCACTTGCACCACCACATTTACTACCTCCACAACCACCGCCACCACCACCACCACAACCACCACATCCTACTCCTCCTCATCCTCCGCCACCACCACCTCCAACATCACCTCCTCCTCATTCACCACCGCCGCCGCCGCCAACACCACCACCTCCACAACTGCCATCCCCACCACCACAACCATCAACTTCGCCTTCATCTCCACCATCACTATCACTACCATTACCACCACAAGATTAGTGCATAACACTTTTAACATCATGTCTATTTTAGTCATTATTCACAGTTACAACAATTTTATATTAAAATTTACCAAACGGTTTTAACACTGCTTTTTGTACTAACAGCACTTTAAAAATAGTGTTTACCAAACATGGAGCTGCTTTACTTTACAGCTAATTATTTTTAAAGCACAGCAGAAGCAACTTTTTTTAAAAGTGACAGCAATCCCAAACTAGGCCAGATGTTTGATGCCGCTTACCATGTTGAAGAATTTAGTATGAAAGTTTTGATCAAAATGGGGAGCTTCTACAATGAGGAGTTAAAGTGAGGAGTTAAATTGAGGAGACCGATCCGACCGTCAAAACATTTAAAATATTTAAGTCCCATGATTTCTTTACATTTGTTGATGGTGAGATTTGATCTCCTTAAATAACCTCCTCACTTTAAGCCCTCATTATAGCCTTTCCGATCAAAATGTTCCTCTCTTTGACTAAATCTGTTTGGAGAGATGTTATGTTATTTTCCTATTATTGGTAAGCAGCCTAAGGCCAAAATGTGGGATGGTCGCCCTCGGGACCCAGCCCAAGGCCAACCCCGTTATTTTCCTATTATACACTTTCTTTTAATATTTTGAAATAATACATGCATTATTGAAAAATCTAGGATTGAATTCTAAATTGGTATTAACCTATGATTGAAAATGGTGGCTGTAAATCACGTTATAGGCAATAAATATCTTTCAAAACAAGGTGTTGTATGGTTAAAGCCTTTGGGTTGAGTGTGTGGGGTGAGCCCAACCCGAGCTTACGCCAAGTGAACTTGCGGAAATGCTATAATGAGGGGATGAGAAATCATTTTGACAATTATTTGGATGGAATCCTAAAAAACTAAGTCCGTTTGATTTGCGGAAAGTATTTGATGGGAAATCATTTTTTCATGTCTTTTTCTCAAAGATGAGAAATGAAATATTCCTTTTTTTTGACAAAAAAACAAGAAATATTCATTTCCCAAATTTGGTAATGATGGGAAACTAACTAAGAAATACCACTTTATTTCTTGTTCCGTATATGATTTCTATAGGAATGTAAAACAAAATTTATTTAATTTTTCAATTATACCAATGTTAGAAGTAATATGAACTAAATAATAATATAATAATAATAATGCATTTAATGATATATTGTAATTCTAAATTTTAATGGGGACAAAATGGTAGTGAAAAAGATGCATTTAATGTTGACCTTAGTTCCTCCTATTTTCCCATATCCCAACCCCATTTCCTATGAACCAAACGCACACTAACGGTAAACCTCACATTGGCTTATTTAACAAAGTTTGGTACTGAAATTTTGAGGGAAGAAAAAAAGATTAAGGAAAAAATTGACAATCAGGAAATTGTGAAGTGGAAAAATGACATTTTCTTGGCCAATGAAAAATAACAATTTACCCATACTATTACAAGAAATTATGTCCCAAATAAGTAACGCAATTTGAATATTTGAATTAAAAACTAACTGCCTATTTGGTTCATGGTTTAGGACATTGGGAATAAGTATGAAATTGCATTTCCTTGTTTGGTAAACGCACCATTGGGAATGAAATACCTAACTTATGGGTAGGAACTTCCCATCAAGGGTATTGTTGGAAAATTGAAGAACTTTTTAATACTGCACAAACAGACATGGGAATGAGAGAAAATGACATTTTCTGGCCTCATTTCTCATAGTTTCGAAACGTGGGAATGAACTTTCACCATTCTTATATCGTAGGATTAGACATTATAATTTCATTTCTAGGAAGTTCAATATGCAAATCAAATAGGTTGTAAGGGTGCTCACCGCTTTATCTTTCTCACATCAAACGTTAATTGATAAGCAAATTATTAAGACATCAACTAGTGTCTTGAATGCACCTCCAATGTATGCAAGAAAAATAAGCTAATTCGGAAATTTGTTTAGTAAAGTATTAATAGACTTCATAAACACACTCAAATTTCATTTACAACAAATCAAACAAGACTCAAACCTCCTATAAATTATAAAAGTGAAACTACATTTCTTAAATCTGGGGAAAAAAAACTACATTTATTAAAACAAGCCCAAACCAAAAAGTCACAAAGAAAACCAACAAAACTCAAAACACCAGCCCACATTAAATTTTTTTTTTAAAAAAAAACAAACAAAAGAAAAGAAATAAGTGGAAAAGCCGAACCGTCCCGCAAACCAATGCATCACCATGCCCAACCTTCATCTCCATGATCTCTGACCTCCAAAACCTTCATAACCGTGAAACTTCAAATGTTTTTTTTCCAAAATTAAAATCACGGTGGCCAAATTTGATTTCGAACCAAATTCTAGTGTCTAAAAATGTAATTAATTGAATATTTAATATCTATTTCTATGTAAAAAACGTAACAATCACTTGCTTTTGAATACGAGGGCGCTTAAAGTTGTAGCTCAAGTGATTACATTTGCTTTACACAAATGACGTTTTAGGTTACTTTATTTTATGCACATAATGTTCTAGGTTCGATTCAGCTCCTAAATATCATTTGTATAAAATAAAAATAAAAATCAGTCGCTTGCCTTCAAAATCGCTATTATAACAGTACAGTCTGTACGTGAAACCTAAGACCTACATGCAACCCACAAATCATCACATCCTAGGCGCGTGCAACACTTCACATTCCCAACGCTCTTTACAAAAGAAAAAGGACAAGAGAGTGAGCTCAATGCAATAAAAACCGCGTGAGACATGGACGACCTCTGTCGCCGTCGTTTCCCTTCGCGCCCTCACTTCAGCAATTCTCGCAGTACGTGCCTCGTTCAAAGAAATGGAGGTAACTGTTTGCGGGGTGGATGCGCAGAACGCAACCGGCGCACGTTAGCATTCCTTGCGGCATATTAAGTTGTTTTCGTACTGTTTTTTTCTTTTCCTCACCACGTTAGCATTTCCTGCAACATATTAAGTTGTTTCTACTCCTCCTCCTCTTCTCTCTCTCTCTCTCTCTCTCTCTCTCTCTGGAACTTTCTTTCTTTCTTTACTCAAAACCAACACACTGAAACCCTTGACTGCAAGCAAAATCGAAAATGGCGTTTCTCTCGTTTCTTTGATCATCAATATTTGAGGTATATATCTCATTATAAACTTGTTCTCCAAGTTTTCAACAAGAGCTAGCTCAACTTTTGTTTGTGGCCGGGTCATGAGGGTTTCAACTTTTTCTTTTTCTTTTTCTTTTTTGCTTTCACATAGTACCCAGATGGGTTTGTCTTTTCGTCTTCTCTTCTTTTGTATGCATTTCTTCTTCTTCTTTTTTCTTCAAAATTTTCTTTTTTCATGGATGCTCTGTTTCACATTGTGCTTTGTTTACCCTAGAATCCGTCGTGCTGCTCATGTATTTTCGCCTAAGTTGAATTAGCACCCAATCAATGTCTCTCTTTTTGTATGGAAATGAGTCATGGTTTTTTTTTTTTTGGGTGGCAATTTTAGTGGTGGGTTTTTACTCAGCGTTCTGCTTTTTCCTAGCAAATCTCTTCAACTAAAGGCGACATTGGTAGATGAGTTATGGAACACA